TTAGAGACAGTCAGGCAGGCAGAGGGGTTAGAGACGATCAGGCAGGCAGGTAGGCAGCCCAGTGGTTAGGAGCCAAGGAATTGCGAGAGGGATGTAGGTTTGTGGATTGGGCTTAAACCGGTAGTCGGACATCCCCAAGGGGTTCCAGATGGAAAGAGGGCACAGGACGAGCTGAGGGGACCGCCCCTTCCCGTGCATTAATTTCATGCACCAGGCCTCTAGTTTTTAAATAGTTTTGCTTGTTCACGAATAAGAAGATAGATGGTGAACCACATCATTGGGAGCCCATCATTTTCCCCTCAGTCCTGATCAGTATTACACTGAAATAGCTCCAAATGTACTCTGTAATTCTATGTTATGTTGCACAGGGAACTGCCATCCACTGATCATGCTCTTAAAATCCCCCGTTGAAGAGGCAGTGGCAGTGGGAACCTGGCATGTTCTGGACTCACCTTTGTATGCAAAATACATTTTAAGATCAATTTTGAGAAAAATGGTGCATTTATTTCAATTCTCTGTTGAGCAGCCCTACCTTTATACATGGCTTGAGCTTAGGATTAAGCATTGCAAAGTATTTAAAAATAGAGTACAGTATAATTATGCTTGAGTCAATTATTGAATAACCCAAAGCCACATTTTCCTTGGCTAATGATTCCTAATGTCATTTTTATTGTTATTACTAACTGCTCTCCGTTGTTGCCATAAGGTGCTTTTATAAGCTGAAGCAATTAGCCATTGGCTGTATTTTTATTCACAATTATTCATAAACTTAGAAGCATATACTACACATTTTAACACCAAGAAAACACATGTATTTTACTCTAGAGAACATTGTGTAGGGGGTCATATTTCCACGATTCATGGGACCTCTTTTTTGTCTGATACAATCCTAAGGACACCAGGATTGTGGGGGACATTGTCACTATGTTGAGCTGAGAATGAAAGTGAACATAATCTGTCGCATTTACCAGTGTTTCTGAAGAACTTGAAATTGCATACGTGTTACAGTAGGGATGGTTGGCAAAACGCTGATGTTGAATCATCTACTCACAGGTACACGCACCCAGTCATTTCAGAATAGATAGCGAAGTGAGCATCTGCCTTGTTCCCTAGAAAATATTTCTGAAAAAGTCAAGTCCCATTAGAACTGACTTCAACTCTAAAAATCAATACAAAAATTTGAAATGATAGATAAACTTATACAGGAGTTCTGAAAGACTTCGTGAATGCTGGCTTGTGTCCCAGCTTCTCTTCTTTTTTAAATCTGCATTGCAGATTTAAAGTTCTGTTTCTTAGTGGAAATTGCAAAGAAACCTAAAGTGTGTCTTTGAACCTTGACAGATGTACTTTCTTGAAGTCTGAAGTATTCTGTGTTGCCGGGAATTGGACCGTCGGGTTGCGAAGCAGATGCCCTCTGGTTATTTAAGGGGATTATGGTCTTTCACCCAGCTATATTTACCTAGGTCATTAACCACAGCCTCTGGGGCTTTTAAGGAATGAGTTATTAATATGTCAAAAATATTGTCAGTAATGGTGCAATGAGGTCATTTCAATTTGCTTTTAGTGGTTGGTGAGACCTAGAGAGCTATAGCTACTGCTCTCATCTTTCCTTCTTCTAAATATAAACACAAGTACATATGTGTCTGCATATGTATTTCTTTACATGCTCACCTGCTTCATAGCACAGAACTCATCATAGAGAACTTCTAAGAATACCCTCCCCCCTCCTCAAAAAAAAAAGAAAAAAAAAGAAAGAAACCTTGCAGTCCTGCATGGCTCAGTGGTTGAGCGTTGACCTGTGAACCAGGAGGTCATGGTTCGATTCCTGGTCAGGCACATGCCTGGATTGCTGGCTTGATCCCTGTTGTGGGGCATGCAGAAGGCAACTGATCAGTGATTCTCTCTCATCATTGATGTTTCTATCTCTCTCTCCCTCTCCCTTCCCCTCTGAAATCCATAAAAATATATTTAAAAAATGAAAAAATAAATGATAAACCTCATTTTTAGCCACATGATCAGTCGAGCAGCAATGCTTTGCAAGTGAAATAAGAAAACACTCTTTGTGGAGATTAGTGCTAAATTATGCTTTATAATGTCTCCTTGCCCTAAACAATGATTATTTCTCGTTCTTCACATTTCACACACTGTTGCAGAAATGCTAAAATATTCTTCCCAGATCGAGATGGTGTTTGATGCTGCCTTATCTCCTCCCAGCAGAGGCTCAATTAACTGGCTGATTGGTATGCAGGTCATGGCATCACTAGTAAAATTTTATTATGACTCTGAAGTGAAATTTTGATGGCACAATTCATGACTGCGAATATTTTGTGAATTTCCAAGTGAAATGAGCAAAACAAAAACACAACAATAGGAGGTTAGATTCACCGAGCTTGTATAATACGCAGATATCCATAAATGCCTGTAGGATTTACAGGTTGGATCTGGGGGAATGGAGAGGGATCCCATTAAGGCTCACAAATGGGCTTCCATGCACATAACGCTCATCCATCAGCATTACACTCATTTGTTCTTGCTGCTGTGGTCATTAGTGAGCAACATTCATCTTTGTCATTTCTTAACAGCCTCTGGACTTTGAGACCAAGAAATCCTATACGCTGAAGGTGGAGGCGGCCAACGTCCACGTTGACCCACGTTTCAGTGGCAGGGGGCCCTTTAAAGACACAGCCACGGTCAAAATTGTCGTTGAGGATGCTGATGAGCCTCCTGTCTTCTCTTCACCCACTTATCTCCTCGAAGTTCACGAAAATGCAGCTCTGAACTCCGTGATTGGGCAAGTGACCGCACGTGACCCTGATATCACCTCCAGTCCTATAAGGTATATGTCTCTTACTGGCTATATCAGTTGACAAGCACGTCAGTATAAAATGCAATTATGTATGCATCCTATGTGGTTGCCTTAGGGACTAACCTCACATGACCAAAGAATTTTGGTCAATGCATATTGTGTGTGCATATGCATGTGAACGTGGGTGCATGCATACATGTGTACACATGCACACATACACACACATTAACCCGGAGCTACATACAATGCCCAAACCAGGATATCAGGGTGAACACAACTCTTCCCGCATTCAGAGAGCTCAGTGAGAACGCAAAATTGCATCTGTTTTGCAGTGTATTTGGGTGGATCTTTTATATTATTTTGTTTTTGCTTGTTTATACATTTCCTTTTTTTGTCCTAGCATTGCTGGGTTTTCTTCTTTCTCCTTTGACAGTTACAGTAAATTATATATGAGAATTTAGAGGCATGAGACCACTATCTCAACATATGATGAAGCCCCTATTTTATTTCTGTATTTGGTGTTTGGCTTTGAAATTATCTGAGCATTTCTGGTCGGTCAGCATATCTGGATTGGAGACTTTTAGATAAAATCTTCCTCTGCCATTTCAAAAATACCTTTTGTTTACACTTTCCCTGCTCAGAATTCTTTCCTGAGATGAGAAATGATCCTTTATTAAAGTTTTTCTGCCTTTTTTTCAGAAATGAGACTCAACCCTATTTTCTTCTGTTGAACTGCGTACAACTTTTCTCTTTTGCTAGTCACCCCAATGACAGTACAATGCTCAAGCTAAATAGCTTTTTTTCCCCCAAAGCACACTGCAAATCTATAACTTGTACACTGGTCTCTAAGGGTGAAGTGTTGGCTAATGATGTGTTTGAGTGTGGATTTCAAATATTGTCTTAGGAATGTTTGCTGTAAAAAAGAGACAGAAAACTTAATGGAGGAATACAGTTTTAGAGAATTGTCCAGTTACTCTGTAAGTTCGATGTCAGCTCATACCCAACGCGTTCACTTGGGTCACGGGCGTTCATGTCCCTCTAATTTCTTTGTTCAGAGAAATTCTAGACAAATAAGTTTGCTGGAAGTTTTATTAATTTATGGATTACATTCTCAACCCTTGCAAGGGTGCTGAAATGATGAGGTTGGAGGGGAAACCCAGCAGACTAGCTAGTCAGTGCCCCAAATAATTTGAGTTTGGGCACAAAATAATTATTTTTTCGGATCCAGAAAAGATGTTTTTAATACAAACCATTTCTAAATTCCGGATAATATAGAGTGTATCCCATAAGGATACAAAAAAAGTTGTTTTCTTCAAAAGAACCCAAACTCTAAGAAGGTAAAACCCCAGCTGGGGATTTGAGGAATGGTCAGTTGTCCATTCTCAGTTCTAAAGGAATCCACCAAGCGATAGACATGCAGAATGCTCTGCATTTGGCTAAGAGACTTATATCTCTCAAAGGGCCAAGTGTTGAATACAGCAGCAGGAGGTATCCAGAAAAATACATTACCATGGGTAGCCATTTTCTGACTAAGTCGTGAGATGACTTCATCTTGAAATCCTGTTATAGCCCTAGCTAGTTTGCTTGGTGGATAGAGCATTGGCCTGTGGACTGAGGGGTCATGGGTTCAATTCCAGTCAAGGGCACATACCTGGGTCCCGGGCTGTACCTCCAGTTGGGGGTGTGCAGGAGGCAGCCGACCAATGCAATGATTCTCCCTTGTCATTGGTGTTTCTATCACTCTCAATGAATAAATGAATCTTCCCCATGTTCATGTCACTCCATTTCCTCTGGAAAAAAAAGAAAATCCAACACAGAAAGGAGGAATGGCCACTCTCTGCACATCTCTGAGTGTAAGTGACAGCATGTGAAGGAAATAAGCAAGATTGGTCCAACTGAGAGGCCTGTCCTGGGGCCTGTTTGGCACTTGATTTGACAAGATTTCTGCTCTTGTTAGCAGGGAACACACAGGGGGCCCGGGAGTAGGCCAAGCCAAGGGCCCTTTGGGGACACGAGGAGTTCAGATATCAGGGCAATCAACTCCAAACATGAAATCCGAGGTCCCAGCAGGAACTGACTTCCTGCGCGAGGCCTGCCCTTAATCAGCTAGCGAGGGGGTTGGAGGGACGTTTCGTACCACAGTGACAGTGAGCTCCAGTCGGCAGATCTGGGTACAAAGCCAGGTTCATCGTCGCCCCACAGGTTTTTGTACATTTTATAACCTATCCCTCTACTGATGTTCAAATGGACAGTCACTGGTAACAATTCCAGTTCACATGGCATCGAGTGATGGTTATCATTGTAGTTGATTATTCTTATTGTTGTGTTGTTATTTTTTTTAAAAATATTATTGTATTGATCTCTTCAGAGAGGAGAGAGAGAAACATCAGTGATGAGAGAGAATTATTGATCAGCTGCCTCCAGCATGCCCCACACTGGGGATCAAGTTGGCAACTGGGGTGTGTGCCCTGACCGGGAATCAAACCGTGACCTTCTGGTTTGTAGGTGGACACTCAACCACTGAGACACGCGGGCTGGGTTTTGTTGTTATTTCTATGATGGTCACGGTATGAATGGCAGGCATAAAGAAGGCGTGAAGCTGCTTTATAACAATTGCCCAACTTCAGAGCATGTTGTGGGGGACCAAATCAAAGGGAATTTGGGGGTGTGTTACCAGGAAGAGATGAACAGATAAAATACCATTTGATGACACGGACGGATCTATACTTCTGATAGATGTCAGGCAGGTGGCAGTTCCTTGACATCTGTGGTCCTTCCCAAGGAAGGGGCAGATGCTGTGACAAAGCATTTACAACAGGGCTGGGATGTGTTCTTCACAAGGCGAGCCCCGCACGATTCTGATCGGACATGGATTGGCTCCATGGGATAGACATGTGAGAATCACCAGCTGCATTTCTCAGCGTCTGGTCTCATTTTTGTAGTTGCACCCCAACCCCCACAAACTGAGTCATGAAGAGAAGCTTTTTTTTCCTCCCCTAATGCACAATTGGTTGATTTGAGTAGAAAATTAAATTTCCTGCCGAGCCAGAGCACTGCATAGCTCCTTATGAACCTAGCAGACAGATTCAGAGCTGTTTAGCCTTTTAGAAACAGAACCAGAGGATGTGGGTATTCGGGGAGTTACTGAGTAACAGAGAGCAAAGCATTTCTGTCTCTTTAGGGCTGTTGCATTTTATATACTGACAAGAACATATGCATCTTTTGGGGTAATGCATACATGGCCATCTAGCCAGAAATAGGCATTTATTGTGTCATCTGCCATGCTAAAACATGCAGTCATTTATTGGTTGGTCGACTCTCTGTCCAAAGACTCAACAACTTTTTCAAGAACATTGTCAAGCATGAACTATTATGGATTTTGAAATTCTTATACATAAACCTATACATACACACACACACATATATGTGTGTGTGTGTGTGTATGTGTAGATATATATGTGTGTGTGTGTGTGTGTGTGTGTGTGTGTGTGTGTGTAGATATATATATATATATATTCATTCCAATCAACTGAGCCATACCAGCCACAGCTCACTTATGAGATGTTTTTAATTTTTTTTCTC